AAGCAGATGGGTAACATAAAGCATCTGGAAGGGTAGGCTCTTGAAATAATGTAATATTTTGGTTTTGAAGGTTCAGGAAAGAGATTTTTGTAGAGACAAGGAAAAGTGTAAGCAGCAGTAAGCAGGGTTGGTCATGATAGAAATGGCGTACGTGCCAGGTCATGAAATCCCCTACAAAAAGGGGTAGGGGAAGTGACTTCAATGATGCACTCTAGTTAGCTGATTTGCTTGCATCTGCCTTATCTGCTTCATGATGAAGTGATGAACAGCTGGGGGTGGCATTTCTTAACTTCATGTTTGAAACCAAAGTTCCTGATTTGGGGCTGTCTTCAACTTTATCTTTTTTTATTCAGATTTAAAAGCTTGTTCTGTTTATATTTTATAATCTATAGAGAGCTGAGCAGTGACAGTAAGGGTAGGTTTATATTCAGTCTGTCTTAGGTTTTGTTGTTTCTGTCATGTCATCCATCCCTCCGTGTTGTATCCGTCCGTGTCGTGTCCTCCCACCCCAGAACTGGCTAAAAAACTCTGGTGTAAGTTTGGTAAGGTTTTTTTGGTTTTTGCTACCTTCCCCTACTCCCTGTAAGAGGATAACACTGGATTTATAAATGTTTATACACTTTCTTATATTACAGAGAATTGATAGTAACTGCTTTTTAGATTGGATGAGAGTGCTTCAAAAATAACAGTGTTTGAAATTATCTGGTTTGTTCCAAGTTTCACAGATACGTATTTGTATTTTGGAAAGCTGTGCAATGTCATCATCTTCTCCATCACCTCTGTTAATTGCCGTCATCCAAGTTTGCCTGCAGAGTGGGAGGCAGTTTCATATGGTCAGGGTCCGCCCCTGGTGGGTAATTACAAGGAAAGGTGCTGTACCAAAGGCAGCCCTCAGGTGAGCTAGTCTCATCATCTTTCATTCAGTCGATGTACTGCCATATGTTGAACTAGACAGAGATGCTTTATAGTTTTCTGTAACATCTCACCATTTGGTACAAGAGTTTCAGCAATGCTGGGAAACATTACTTTTATGATTAAGCCCACTCGTAAAAGTAAGCCCACTCTGTGCTCCCCAGCAGAAACTACTGGAGAACAAGACTTGAGTTTGTCCAGCCTGTGCATGAGGCGAGAGAGGTATGTGAGACACTGCTGTTTGACACAGTCAAAAAGTGCACACTTAGCAGGAGTGGAGAGACTGTACCTTGCTGATAATAGCTTAAGTGTTACTAAATGTTGAGAATTTGAAGAAGCATCAGAGTTTGTGTTTGAAATCACTTCAACTGACTGTTGAAGGCTGCTTGACAACAGAATCAATATTTTCAGGAGTGTTTCACTAATTTTGAGTACAGTCTGTAAGCCATTTGGTGTGTTGTATGTGCATTATCATATGGAACACTGGACATTTTAATTATATGGCCCTGTAAGTTGCTGATTTCAATCTATTTTTAAAGATTTTTCCCTTCTCATTGGAACCAGAGGCTGAAACTGCAGAGGTATCAAATTGGTCTTTTCAGCTCAAGCATATTAGAACAGTTGTTGTGATGTTCACAACATCACGAAGGGTAGATTGCAAAGCAGGCTGTCTGGATTGTTTTAGAGAGAAAACTGGGGAAAGATCTCAGAATTGGGTAGCCTGAAGTGCTCGTGTGAGTCTGTAAGCTCACGTCCTTTCTTTAACAGCTTTCTTCCTCTTAACAGTCATCGGTTGTGTGCCAGAGCAATGCTGTAGGTTGGACAATGTCATTTGTGGACCTGCTCTATTTATAGGGTATTTCAGCAACTCCTCCTGTAGCTCCTGTTTCCTGATTTAAAAGAGCTTTCACACTGTGTCGCTGTCTCTCATTTTCCACTGGCAGAAAAAGGGAGGAGTGGAGTTTCTCCTTGAAATGCAACAGAGCATTTCTGCTTCTCTTTCCAGGCCATGGCTCTCGTCCCTCGGATTTAGGAGACGAGTCTGGCAAGGGGAGGGCTGTGGGTGAGGCACCCGCTGCCAGCAGTCACTTCTGCTTGGCTGCTTCTTTCGCCTTGGCTTCAGAGACAAGGGGAGATGGCTAGTAAAGACTAGTGGGAGATGAGGAAAAAATGGGTCTAGAAGGCACAGCCTAGTGGGAAATTGAGTTAGAAGTGAGGATTATGGTGAAAATGAACTGCACAGATGCAATGCCTCGTCTTGGCTGAGCCCTGACAGCAATCGCCTGTCTGGAACGCCTGTTCGCAATTCTGCTGCACAGAGGTGGCCTGATTCAGCTCATGTATCAAAGTCAAGGCTTATAATTTGGGAGTTGAAAAGGTTTTTTGATATAGGCCAGATGTAACTTCAAGAAACTGCAGTACAGAGGTCCCTGACATGAGAAATACTGTGTTAGAATAACATTCTCCATGTTAAATTATCATTATTGTTAGCCCTTCTGTGTTTTCCCCCCTTTGCTTTCCCATTTCCCTTTCTCCTTCCCAACAACCCAGATGTAGTTTTGATGTTATCTTTTTCTGTCATGCTGTTTGTGTGGTGCAATGTTTATTTTTCAAAGCCAAAGGAGGATTTAATAACATTCAGCTGATCACAGAACAGCTTTGCTTTAAAAGCTCATTAGCTAGGGCTTTTCTCCTGGTTGTTGCTTTCAGTGACATGCCTGTCACAGTGATAGAAAATCATATATATCTGTGTGTGTGTGTTTATTGTGTCTCACTAACTGTCCTGGTGGGAGGCAATGCTGATAAAGGGCTTGAAGTAAGGCTTTGCCTGCACCAATGAATGCTCATCTTCTAGTTTTGGTTTGTTTGTGTTTTTTATAACTGGAACAAATAATCCTCAGCTGAGCAGGCCGTCAGTGCCTGGATCTTGGACATCAGAAGTTGAACATAATTGTCAGTATTGGCCAAAATCAGCAGGTAAGCCATTAGCTCTTACTAGTTTTGTGAAAATTGGTATCTGGAAAGAGGATGGAGTGCCTTTATGGAGAAGTTGATTTATCTTACAAGATGCTACATGAGGACGGGCTAGCTGGCAGGTGAGCGTGTGCCTGGCTGTGGGGCCTGCTGAATATCCCCATCAGGCAAGCTGAGAACAATGCGGGGACTGCAGGTCCCATGGAAGGGAGATGTAAGCCGGAGTTCAAGTGACTGTGGTAGGGGTGACAACTACTGTGGTGTGTTTTGCTGTTCACAAAACATCTTTTTCTCATAAAATATGCTTGTGAAGTAAAGCTATGGACAGTGTTGCTTGCTCAGTTATTCAGAATTCATCCAGGCCTGCTTTAGAGTAATGAGAATAGGCTGAAATCTATGGAGTTAAAAATAGTAGAAATTGGGTTAAGTTGCTCTCCTCTTAAATTCCTTTCTTCAGATGCTTCAAGTCATGTTATTTAAGTTTAGTCTGCAAGCACAAAGCATAGAAACTTACTGAAATTTTTAATCTAATTAAGCATCTTTGGGAACTGGGGTTTAAGCAGAAGACCAAAGGTGAAAAAACTTGTGATAAAACCACAGGAGAGCTGGCGATATTCGGCAAGAAAATAAAAATAATGGGATGAAAATGAGCATGGTGTGCACATGTAGCTGCAGAGGCAGGTAGGGTTCTCTTCTCTGGTGACTGTGCAGGCTGGATTCTGCCAGCAGCTTCCCTGTTCCTCAGCTTCAGTTCTCTTGCCAACTCCTCTGCCTCTCCCTTTGTCCTGCTACTGCTGCCTTAGCAGTTATTTTCACTTGTAGTTAATCTGCAGACTTCTGCCTTGTGAGGATTGAGGGATTAGAGTAAGAGTGAGTCTACTGGAGGTACCTGTGATACTTCAGGCTCTAGTGAAACCACAGCCGAATGCAAAAGGGCTCATGAAGCAGCAGGCATGTGTAATGGGGCAGTCAGATACGAACCTGGTATCTGGAGTACACACTGCTTGCAGTACAGAGCTGCAGAGAGATATTGTCTCTAAGTGATTGAATGGGACTGTTTCATCATCTTTGTCTTTCTGACCTTGGTATAGCAAAGTCATGCTTAATAAGTTGCCCAGGTTACCTTAGGGTACTCTTACCTGAGAACCTGAGGCACAAGTCCTACTAACCTTATTATAGGAAAAAATTCTTGTACTTGGCAGTCTTCATCTGAAGTTCTGAGTGTTGGAAGGACTATAAAACTGCAGTGAGTGATGCTCTAGAACTAAAAAAAGAAGTAGTCCAGTTAATTGGCTTCAGATAACAGTAAATAGATTGTACATCTTTTCCTGAGAAAAATTCCTCAGATCTTTAATGACTCCCATGCTGCTCAGCAGTCACTCATGCATCTTTTCTTACAGCATCACAAAATGGATTAGGTTGAGTTTGGAAAAAAGCATACTTATTCAGAAACAGAAATGCTTACACATAGTGTTTTTTAGGACTAGCTATTAAAATGTAAACACAGACCATACATCAGTCCAAATTGATATGCAAAGGTAGGCAAGTTCTCAGCCTATTTTAGTGTGTTTTTATTGTTCTTTTCTAGGTGTAGGTACCTTAGCATGTTAATCATTAAGAATGTAGGTGTTTTAATCTGTATTATAAATAATTGGTTTGTGTGGGGTTTTTTCTTAAATAAAAATACCTTTTTGCTCTATTTAGGTCTAAGTATGGTGAAGCCTATACTATGTGCTCTATTCATCAAGTATTCTTTAAATAAAAGCATTCCTTCATCTGTATTGATACAAAATAAAGCTCAGCTTGCTACAGAAGTTTTGGCTTTATGGCCTTAATTTTTGCAAGGCTCTGAGTGTCCAGACCTGTGCTATGTACTTTAAAAAAGCAGAGTTTAGGGTCTTGTGAGAAACAGCTTTAGTTCAGTGGAAAAAAATACCTGTTCTGCTCATTATTAAGAACGTCCTTTATAGTGTTCAGCAGAGTCATAGGTTTAAGAAAGCAGCTTTTTTGGAGTCAGTGACCTGTTTCTTCTACCTACACATACTGGGTCCTGTGGGAGTCATGTCAGCACTTTTATAATGGTTTTAAGACAACTGTTTCTTTTCTTCCTTTAGGCTCATAGCTGGCAGCCTGGAATCAAAAACCCGTACCGTGGGGTGGTGGTATGGCCAGTTCCTGAAAATGTTGAAATTACTGTGACGCTCTTTAAGGTATGTTTTTTAAAGCATAATCTTTCCTATTTCATAAACAGCATATGAAAAATTCTGTTTGGAAATGTCAGATTGTAATCACAAAGGCTTAATCTTGCTGGGTTTAAATTGTATCCTTATGTGCCCAGCTTAAATCCTGGAGAGAAGGATGGTCTGTTCCCTGCTAAAGCTTACTTGTGTAGTTTAGTTAACACAGTGAAATATCCTATTGAGCTGATTATGGCGAGTCACTGGCATAGAATTTAGTACGTGTGTAAGTTGTGCATGTACTACATGTGTAAGGGCTTGGCATGGGTTATAGTCTGGTTTTCTTTAAATACTGTAATCCAGAAGTTGTCAAAACACAGCCATTTCTAACTTTACTTGTTGAGTTGCAGTGCATGACACTATTTCTTACGCTATTGACTAGGAAACAAAATCCAGCTCTTAATTTCACAGAATTTAGTATGCTGCACAAACATCACAGTCAATGTGGAGTATTGGAGTAGTACAGAGAATTATAAGATTTTACAGGGGATTTTTTTTTTTAGGAACTGCATTTGTTCTATTAAAAAAAAAAGCTTATTTTTGTGGCTGTGAAGCAGGAGGAGAAATTGGTTATTCTAGAACTAATTTCCCAAATATCATCAGGGAAAGTCCTTTCTGCATAAAGATAAACAATGTAATTTTGCATGGGTGACAGTGTAGGAGGCTGACTAGGAGGTTGACTGTTTCTGTGAATTTTTTTTTTTTTTTTATTCCATTGGTTCTTTACTCTGGTGTCTCCAGCTACACTCTGGATATTCTTATTTATAATTGCTCCCTTTACAGCTTAGAGCAACAGAAACGTACTTTTTTAATTTATTAATATATTAAGCCTAAAAGGGAGGGTTCTTTTTTTTTTTTTTTTTTTTTTTTTTTTTTTTTGTGGGTGTTCTTGGGATCACCAATAAACAGAAACTTCCCAGGTTGCCAGCAATGCTATCATAAATTTGTCTCCTCTTAGCAGACACATAGTCTTCAACCGAGGTTCAAAAGTTCACTAGCAAAAATTGTCTCTGCATGGTTCAAGGGCCTCTATTTGGATTAAGAAGTTTAATGCCATTATGTGACTGCGCTGAGTGTCTGTATAATCGGAATATGGTTATGTAACGTGGTAAATGTTACTTAATATTTTTAACACTTAAAGTGAAGCAGAAATGTACGCAACTCTTGATTGTGTATGCAATAACATGTTATGTGAAGAATGAGAAATTAAGTTTCCTTTGGGTGCAGCTCTGTGATGCTGTGGCTTTGGAGTAAAAGTGTCTCCCAGCATTCTCCTGCCACCCCACACTACTTTTCTATTCCTCCCTGCGCTGTTTCAGAGCTATATTTTCTAGTACAGCATGACAAACTTGTAGTTGCGCTTCTGAAAGGGAGTGTAAGGGCTAGGACCAGATCGCAAGGGGAGAGAAGGGCCTCTGGAGCCGGTGTTAGGTATTACTACAGCCTTAATTTTACCCATCACTGTGACTCTGCAGGCAAATCTGTTCATTGGACTACCTCCTCCTCTTCCCAAAAATGAGCCTGCTTGTCACAAAGGTTGTTTTGGGAGGAGAGGAAGGAGCATGAATAACACCAGAGGCTGTGCCTTCTGGGAATGGTACACACTGATCTCTGGGGGAATGAGCGTGGGCTTTCATAATCAAAATATTGAGATCACACAAAAAGCATCATATTGCCAGGCAGCTTTTATGTAAATCTGCTCTAATTGATCCTCTGGCTCCTCCAACAAGACTGCCTGTAAGTGGCCAAACCCACCTTTTTGTCTATAACGATATGCAGGTGTGGTACAAAGCAGAGCTTTTTGAACAAGTTTGGTGGTGCACCATGAGCATTGACTGTGCAAGACCAGCAGCCTGCCTGGATGCATGAGCTGCGCGTGGTATGTGATTGCAGGCAGACTATGGTGTTAGCGCAGTTTATGCTGTGCCCAGTCCTCTGGTGGCTCTGTTGGCTCAGTATAACAGTGGCACTTCAGCTGTAGCGTGGGGTGTGTCCTAACACCCAGAGAGTTGGCATTTCTGTAGCTGGTATGTTCTGGGCAAAGGCCAAAGGCGGTTGAAAAGAATTTTTTTTTTTTTTTTTTTTTTTTTTTTTTGCACAGCTGATGCATTGGATGGTCAGCACTAGAGTAGTGGGGAGGGAAAAGCATGTAATAGCATACTGCAGCAGCCTTTTTGGGAGCTGACTTACAAGTCAGGTATTTATATCGTTCCTTCCTGTGGAAGGAGGGAGGCAAAACCAATGAAAGCAGTAAAGCTCAGAAAGAGACTGCTCATCTTGCAGTTCTGTAAAAGACGCTTTCGGAGCCACTCCCCTACAAAGGACAGTTTGGCACTTTGCAGTAAGTACACTTAGCGTGGTTGCGTTGTTTAACAGTCGTTGCCCTCTTTCATTACAACCTGAAAAGCTAAGGAAAGCTGCTGACTCCATGTCCGTGCTGGCAGAGCCCACTGATGGGAGCAGGTTGCTCTGACAGAGCTTTGTAGCAATCACAGATAACAAATTAGTGCAGCGGTGCTGTTTGAAATAGAAGAAAGAGCGGACTCCAGAATAGACAGCTATGTGTTTTGGGAAATGATTCGCACAGTAGTGGCTGTGCATTCGTAAGTGGCTGTTGAAATGTGTTGCTGGTAGGATTAGGAGATAAGTTGAGGTTTCAAGTGCTGATGAGAATGTTAAGAATATCCTCTCCAATAGTCACCCATGGACACTTGAGAGCTGGCTAGCAAAGTGTCTGTGATCAGTCAACAGACGAGATATTTTGCATTATCTGCATATCCCTATTTTGGGTGGTAGCTTGTTTCCAACAATATATTTGTAATTTTTAAGCAAGCAGAGCCAAGCATTGAAGAGACTATAACCTTTGTTTAGAAAACCTTCATTTCAAAAAATAAAAACTTATTGTCTCATTTTACTTAATCCTGGGCTGCTGGTAAAATTTCATAATGCTCTGGAGTCATGGGGAGAAAAGCATCGAATGGATATATCGATTCAGCTTCCCTTGACTAGCTCTAGCTCCTGCCCATCCAGCCGGCTGAAGTGTTAATTACATAAAAAGTTCCATCTGTTCTGAAAATTTAACTTCTTCCTTTGCCTTGCTTTATACTGATGTTTGGTTACGCCTTGGATTTTTCAACCAAAATGAGGAGAAAGAAACATTGTGAAACAATAAGCCTATTGTGCATTTTAAGTCCATGATTTGTAGTGCTTTCATGGAAAGATCCACAAATGCCAGAAAAGCTAGCTGAATTCCCATTTTTTGTTGTCTCCATGGCTGCACTCCAGAAGTTCGTTTTTAGAGTCCCTGCATTAGCAAGGTTTAACCATCATAGATGAAAGCTTGTGTATTTTTCCATGGTTTTATGTACAAACACATCCCTATATCAACTGAGAGAGATTTTTAAATGAGAAATTTGCACTGCCAAGCAAGCCCAGTGCTTTTAGCAAAGCTACGTGAACATCAGTTGTACTATGAGGATTTAAATTGCAACATGTAGCTTAAAAGCAAAGTGAACTTCCAAAGCAAAAATATTTGTTCATCTGGAGTAATCATGAACTTTGCTTCACTGGATTACAAAAACCACTTGTTTTGTCAGTAATATGCGTGGTTTATGACACTGATGTACTATTGCAACAACAGGGAAGATTACCAGCTCTTCATTCCAAAGTTTGAAAAAGACTTTTTTTTTTTTAAAGGGATAGCTTTCAAAGCACACAAAATTATTTATGAGTAAAATAAGAATAAAATAGATAATAAAAGGAGACTCGTGTTGTTGAAAGTATTCCTGTCCCATGTACCTCTCAGAATAGATCCCGTATCATCTTTCTTGAAAGCCCAAGTCAATCATGTGCTTTGGTTATTGATGGCCATGCTCTAGCAGGAACATTGCAGCAGTGCCAATATGTTGTCTCAGGGAAGGAAAAAAAAAAAAAAAACCCAACACCCAAACCAAGACCCTTTGATAAAGCCATTTCCCAGAAGCAAAGAACAGACTCAGGTTCAGAAATAATTGCTTCAGTTTAGGAGAGACTGGTGGCTTGATTGGACAATATGGAGAATATTCCATAGGAGGGAAAAAAGCGTCCTCTAGACAAGACAAGATGATGTGTGTCAGATAAAAAAATCATAAGCTTGGGGAAGTGAGCACATTTGCAGACTAAAAAAAATCAAGTATCCAGGGTCAGTGTGGGAACTAATTGTAAAAAAAATTATTTTTAAATAAAAAAAAAAATATCCTTGTTCCCTTTCTAGCCCAGAGGCTTTACAGGAAGGTGTGAGCTCTCATAAGTTTGGTGTGGTGGTGTACAGGGATAGTTCTGCTGGTCTGCTCAGAGCTCCCTGCTTTCTGAAAGCTCAACAAAAGCTAAACAGAGTTGTATGTGATTTTTCTAGACTAATCAGACCTTTGTAAGCAGTATTGAAAGTGACAAGAATTGGGTCAAATCTTGAGTCTTCTGCAGCTTCAAACAGCCAAGTACAAAAGCTGAGGACAGATGCTGGAGTACCCAGAGCATCTGCTATAGGTCACTCGTAGAGGAAGATCACAAACCCTGTCATCATTTGATCTGATTCAATGTGACAGTCTTTAAGTAGTTATTCCCCAAGAAGAAAGACCAAAGATTAAGGCTGGTATGAAGTGATCTAATTGAAAGGCAAGCTTCGAAAGCCAGGAAAGCTTAGGGAGGAGGCACGGGGAAGGAAGGGAGGAAGGGACTAACAGTCTGAAGATCTTCCCCACCCGCCCTGGCTGCTGCTTAGGAGAAGGAGCAGTCCCTTGTTTGCTGATATGTCTTTCATTCCTATTACAAGATATGCAGAAATAACTCTAAAGATAATCTAAACTATTGGAGAAGGGTTACCTTTCTTCAGTCTTCTGAAACCACCTTATACACTGCAGAAAGGATTTAGTCCTTGACAAAGCTCCTTGTGGAATGGGCTGATAAACAGAGAACAGAAAAATGTGACAGACACGTTCATTGTTGCTCTTCCCTTGCCCGAGCACAGAAGAGTTGTTTGGTTTTGGGTAGTTGGCATAAGGATGGGCACAATGGGGTCACAGAAGGAAGCTGATGCGTGGGATTGCAGAGGAAAGTTTGTGGGACTGAGCTTGTTGAGGGCCAGCATATTTCTAGAAAAGTAGTTAACTCAGTTACTGGAAAAATGTGAGATGGGCTAGGTTTTTGCTGGTGGACCAAAGCGCTGTACTGATCTTAAGAGCTGCAGAAATGATTATCTGAGACTCTCACTGTAAGGAGAACAAGAAGATGATGTCCTGTCCTTTGCACAGTTCCCTACTATTGGCTTCTCACCTGAGTGTTATTTCTGAACACTGAAGTCATTTTACCAGAGGAAAAAAAAACAGGCAGCTCTAAAACTTAGCTGAAGGTACTGAAAAGGAGTGTCATACTGAGGTGAACGCATATGGACAAGAAAATGAGGCCCATCAGTTGATACTAAGAATGATGATTCTTTTTTTACTCAATAAAATGAGGAGGAACAACAAGCCGTTCAATCAGTTTGCCCAAATACAGTTTTCAATTCAAGGTAAAACCATAATGAATGTTGGGTAGAGTGTAGTTCTGCATCTGTGGTATGTTGGTAAAGAAAATGAGCATTATCAAAAAAATACCTCTTTCCAACTCCATTTGTGTTACAGCGAGGCAGTTTCAGGCTGAGAAAAATACTGCAGACTTCTTGTTCCTTGAGCTTCTTAGGTAATTTTCATTATAATTTGCTTTCAGGAAGGAGGATGGGAATGAGGTCTGTTTGTAACTCTTGTCTTCAGGTGTTTCCAGCTGTGCATTTTCAGTGATTACTTGTATCTGCTTGCAGGTGAGGTGAGGTTTTGTGTTCTGTGTTATCAGGGAGGGCTTTCATACAGTGAAAATTTCAAAAGGCTGCTATAACCGTTATTCCTAGGGTGGTTGTTCTTTGCAGTGGTGGGTTTTTTTCCCCTAAAGAGTAGTCAGCTGTATAGTCCTCAAGTAATAGTTTGCTAAATTCACTGCATGAGTTTTATGTGGGAAATGAATGGAGAATATGTGTTAGCCAGTGAGGGATGTATGTGTTGTTACAGGGGTTTTTTTTACTGATATTTACCCTCTTCACATCCAAACAAGATGAAAGATTAGCCAGATTTATAGAAATACCACTTTTTATGGAGACGACACATAGAAATCTTAGCCCAAAGGATGAAAGGGTGGTTGCAATAGAAACTGTGTTGCAACTATAATCATACAAGTATCTGTTAATGCTGACCACGTAATTAAGTTGTAAATTAGCTAGAAATAGGACTGTGTGCTGCTCCCTGGGCTTCTGATAAAAGCATTTTAGTGAGAAGAGTGAAGCCACTTACATGTCTGTTTCAAGGAAATGCTGAGGATTATGTGTATAAGCTTATTTGGCATTTTCTGTTTCTAGAGGCATTTTAAGACTAACAAGAAATGTGGCTTTTTAAAAAAAAACAAAACACCTGGATTTGTCTTTAAATCTGAAATATCTTACACATATGCCAAGTGTCCCATATCAGCATATTTCATACTCTCTGAACTTTTGCTAAGGCTGCACATTAGAGAAGTCCTTGAAGCCTTTAATTTTTATTTTTTATTCTGGGTAGTTGGTAGGAAGTTTGGGGTAATACACTCATGTTTATTTTTCAGAAGTGTTCACAGCTCACTTAAAAGTACATGCTAAAATACTGAATATTAAGAAGTCTTTTAATTATACGGTATTATTTTGCTGTGTCAGATTACCAGAAATACTCAGCAGAGCACCTCATTCTGTAGCCTTCAGAGGTGTGAATCAGTTTTATTGCTTTGTTTTTCTTTATAGATTATTGCTTTGCATGAACAAAACAATGATTGTTTTGTTAGTTACATGGGATAAAATACTGGGCCCTGACTTTGCAAGCAGTTTTATGTAAACCTGCAAGCTTGTATTAATAGCTTTTGGGGGAGTAATGAAAAAAAATTGAACAGGATGAAATATTTAAGAGTTTAGTCACTTATTATGGAGTAGCTTATTAAAACATAAAGTGATTAATGATCCCATTAAATCTCATTATGTCATTTTATGCTGTATCAAAGGAAGCAATTAAACAAAAAGGTAATTGCCCCAGGTTAACTCTTGAAAATGATAAGTATTTAATAGCTGGATTACAGAAAATTACATCTTTAGAATTTATATAGAATACAGCAAACCAGCAGGTATTGTGTACTTTATTTACATATTGCAGAATTCCACAAACCTGATTAATGTGATGGATGTTTAATTACATAATCTGATATTTACAAGTACATTAAGTGGAACACAGAGATACTCAGTATAACTTTGTATGTATCTACTTGCCCTTCTATCCTTATGGCTAACAGTACAGTACGTTTTTTACACTAATCTACAGTATTTAAAACATCCTAATTTTTTAAAAAAAATTCTATAAAGATTTATTTATATATCAAAATAAACCAGCAGTTTTGATGTAAGTTTCTAGTAACATTTTTTTCATTGAACCTACATCCCATTGTTGGAGTAATGCATTTTAAAATGCTTATTGCATATGACATCTGTGGTTATGGCTGTTAAATATATAGCTAATGATGGTGCCAGCAGTATGGTGTGTTGTTGGATTTCCTCTGTGAGCGTGTTGATGTCCAGTGGGACTCCTGCAAGGAGAGCCAGTATTTTACGGGGGGGTCTGCAGAGCAGTGAACCCACTTTGCTGGATTTTCTAGGAGGGACTGTACTGGAGGAGATAGGCTGATATCCTCTTAGAAATGTTATTGTAGTTCATTCAAAGACAGGGTTTATTTAAGAGCACACTTTCCACGTATTTTGTGTGCTGGAAAAAGAAAAAAATAATTCTTTTTGCTGGTTGTTTATGCTGTAAGCTCATTACTTACAAAATGCTTTATTTTTTTGTATTTGATGAGAACTAGTTAAAAGAATCATTTGTAGCACTGCAATACAGTACCTCTACCCACTGTGTGTCTGACTTCAAGGCAAAACTAAATGAAAAAAGGATGGTTAAAGCAAAAACTAAGGTAAAGTGAATTGAAGAGATTGATTGTGAAGGCTTGTAGCATTCTGGAAAGAAAGGAAAGATGGTACTAATGGAGATAAAAAAAGTAGATGCAAAATATTTCTATCGATTTTATTAATTTACAGCAGCAAGATGGAATTGGTGCAGTGCTTGCTGTGTAGTATCATGAGCAGGCTCCAAATAATAGCAAGAAAACTCTGCAGGTGGTGAGGGGTCTCATAGAACGATGGCAAATGCTGATTATGGGGAAGTGATACTTATCTACAAGTGTCTATAGCATGCAAGCATCAGAGGCAAAGGAGTAACTGAGTGGTTTCCTGTAACTAGAAATAATAGGATAAAATTTAGGTATAGCAAAATTAGGCTTCATGTCTGAAGGAAACCTAAAGCCACGTTCTCTTACTGGGAGAAGCTGTTTTGCAAGAGGGAGTAGAAGTTATTTTGTTATAGTTGTTCAGAACTAGGACCGGATGACAAATGAATGATATCTTTCTTTCAAAAGTACTTTTTTTTTCAAAGTAGAATCCTTGATAGAGGCATACAGGGGAGACTTAATGTCTCCATCATTATCTTAATTTCAGACAACAATACAGACCACCTCACCAGACTGAAAGCTCATTAAATTGGAAACAAATGCCAAATATATGAACCTCGTTATTTATCTTCCTGTTGGTGAAAATGTTTTCTGATCCTCATGTGTGATGCAATAGGAATGTTGTGAAATAAGGATAGGTATTTAAGAAATTTGCAGTGAAATGAGGTACTATGCTGAAACTCTGACTTTGGATCTCTGCTTGTGCTGATGGAGTCTGGGCATGAGGAGGTTGGGATGATGCTTGCTGTAGGAGTATGCCTTTTTATGCTGGGTGGGAGCAGTGTCTTCGTCCACTGTTCTCTGCAAGGTGTAGATTTGTTGTGTTTATTTGGGAGGTGGAACTTAAGAATTAGAAAGATATTTTTTTTTTAAATTTTTTTTTTCCTTTGGATGAAAGGAAATAGAATTACAGGCCTTTATCAGATTCAACCTCATGTTTGTGGGAGTCTTTATTTAATCCTCACTGGCAGTTTTACCCCAACTTGCCCATCATCTTATTGATGTCCACTGAAGACTACATCCTAGCTAAAATCTGTCATCTTCGGTGGGTAAAATATTTCTATGAGTATATGAAAATCTTGGCTGAGTTACAATTTCTTGCACCCTGGATTATTTTTAGACTTAAGGTCTCTGGTTTGTTTTTCTAGGATCCCCATGCTGAAGAGTTTGAAGACAAAGAATGGACATTTGTCATAGAGAATGTAAGTTGGAATGTTATGTTTTTTTAATACGTGTAAGACTTAATCATTTAAATGATTAAAGAGTGTGCAAATGCTGAAAAAGGCTAGAGTAAAAATGCTGAAACACAGTAAAGCCTTGCTGTGTAGTAAAAAAGGCTTATTAAAATACTTATTGTTATGTTACAATTAAAATACAGGAGGGGGGAGTACTATACTACACTGCTTAAATTCCTTCCCTGTAAGCATCAGTCTTCCTTGCATTATTTTGCTATGAGCAATGGAGTAAACAAGTTAGAGCTGGGTTATGACTCATTGTTTTATGGGTTATGACACATTATTTTTCTATGATCAGGGGAGTGAACAAGTCAGAGCTGGGTTATGACATCTGTACATCCCAAATGGCAGCACACCTTTCCCAGTTTTGAATGCCGCTCTTTAGCAAAGAGCATGGCTTCATCACCTGCATTTTATAGATGAGGAAATTTGAGGCAGGGTGGAGTGGTGGGACCAGCCATGGTCACCTAAGTGAAGAGCAAGAGAGTCATGATGTGCCTCCTGTTCCCTGAGATCCCAGTTTCACTCTGTGTGTGTGTGGGAGCCATCTTGTGCACCCAATGAAACTCAAAAGGTGGCTCCTGTGAATCCCTGTCTCCTCTGAGTCAGGAGCTCCCAGAACTTCCCGGAGAGTTGAGTTCCTGAGGGCTGTACAAACAACATGCTTTGCCACACAGCAGAGCTTAACGCTGCATAGAGCAAGGGCTTCATGAAGTACTTTTTCCTTTTCCCTTCTCTGTGTTGGGCTGCAGCTTCTGCTCTGGGGCTGCCTGGGCTGAAAAGTGAGGGAGCTGCTTTACCTGGTTTCCTTGAAGAGGAAACTTCTCTTTGAAATATGTTTAAAAGGACTCTGCTATCAAGAGAGTGTGTTTGTCTCTTATTGCTATAGTTTCATTATGGACTGTTTCTCAATAACATAATTTAATTTTTATTTACGTTGGTTTTAAACAAAAAAATACGGCTCTTCTACTGAGTTGTAGTACCACATGTCGCTGAAGTATGGGGAAGCAATGGAATGTGCATGTTATCTTTTTTGCCTAAAAATGCTGCATTTTCTTTCTTGTTGATATCAGAAGTGATTTGGATGTCCAAAGCTAAGGTTTATTCTGATTGCCAGTGACTGAACATGTAAAAGAGCTGAAAGCAAAGTGCTTAATTTATACTTTTGTTTTCAAATGTCAAGTTTCTATTTTCATTTATGAGACTTAGGAACACAAAACACAGTTTAGTTCCTGTTTCCTGGAGTTTTCTTTTTTTTCCTCACTTAGTTTATTTTCATCAGGGAAATCTCCATCACAAGTTGTCACTGTACAAGTAACTCTGGATAAAACAATGTCAGTGTATTTCTCAGCCATCCCCTCTGGGTATAGTTGGATTTCCTGTGAATCACAGGAGATTTTTTTTCAGAAGTTTATAGTGGGCATGTAGACTTCATGTCCTGCTTTATAACACATTGCTTTTTTTTCACATGTCATCGTATGATATATAGAGGTGGCAGTAGTACATCTGCTGCATGCTGTTCTTTGCTCTCTGCCTCAAATCTCCTCCTAGCTGCCGTAATGCTTGCAGGGTGGGAGGTTGCTTTGGTTGCTGTGCCCAAAAACACGGTCTCTGCCAAAACAGATGCAGATGGTTTCAGTATGTATCAGTGATGTGTGTATCAGTAATCTTGTTATATGCAAACTTACTCTTTATAACCTCACTTATGTCATTAGTTCATCCCACAAGAACCGCCAAATAGTCATTGGTAGGTAGATATTTATCCTTGGATTAGAGGATATATAAATATTATCCTCAGAGTAATAAAGTTAATAAATAGTTTTACTGCAAAAATTATTGGGAGCTAAGCCATCTATAAAACTGATTGCTTTCAATCTCCTTTTTTTTCTTTTTTTATTTTTCTTTTTTTTTTTTTTTAAGATGAGACACTACTGAAAGTTGTAGATGCTGCCAAAAAAAATCTGGTCTGCAAATACACTTGAAGAGCTGGAGAAACATTTTTCCAAGAGTAACAGCTCCACTTAGTGGTGGAGGAAAGTATGTTCATCTGTTCGAGCAAGTAACAAATGATCCAATGCCAGGTTGACATTTCAGAGCACAAAACACCTGATAGTTAAAATCCTGGGAGCCGGGGAAGCAGGAGGTTGATCTCCCTCCCTCCCTAAATTGTTGATATTTACCCCTTTCAGGCTTAACGTTTGGTTTTCCTGGTTTTAAAGGAACATACCTATCATCGAACCTGACAAGGACAGGTCACCTTTGAGAAGTGTGGGGACATTTACAGTCCTTTGGGGGCTTTTCCTTTTTGTCCAAGTATGCTCTCTGCCTGTAGAGGCTGCAGGGTTTCCCTTCCTCCTTGGTTAGCAACACTCAGAACGCAAAATACTGACGCCTGAAAATTTTATGGATGTTCTTTCATTATGAAGCAATTTGAATTCTGCTAAAAACATTTTTTTTTGAGCTTTTTTTTTATTGCTGTTAAAAGTCAATCTCCAAAATCATTTTGTAATGCTTCAGTATGGCTGAGCAAAGATCAACTAAGAGACATTCAGCTGACATTTGATGCCTCTGCTGGCAGATGCTACCAAATTCAAAACAAGATCATTCTGGACTTTCAGAAGAGTTTTTAAGTAGCAGTGAGGTGATTTGTACAAGATCATCATGCTGTAAATTAAAATGAAGCAAGATACTTGGGGGGTGTTTTTTTGTTTGGTTTGGGTTTTGTGTGTGTGTTGTGTTGGTTTGTCGTCTTTTTTTTTTATTTCTGCAAATACGTGTACTTTGTGATCCATCACCTTGTTTATTGTAGGATTCTTTTCTAACTGTATTTTTAACATTGTAGTCACTCTGTATTTGTATGCTAGTAAGTGAACCTTCATCATCTACTGTATGTCTAATTGATAAATAATTTGATCAGTGCAGTTTCTTAACACTTAAATGTATTCATTTTCTATCAGCCTCTTCCATGTCTTTACCTCCTTCACAGCTGCATTATTTATTTACTTTCTTGTCTCTAATTTCATCTTTGTTTAACCACAATCTGTGTATTTGCTTATCTGGGTTTGTTTTTTTTTTTCATGAGGCAGGTCTTGAAGTTGTCTTGGGTTTTGTGCTCTCTTCTGAATAATAATATCAGATGTTCAGATTGGTTGGGGTTTTTTTGGGGTTTCTTGTGCACCAGTGTTCAACAAAGAGCTTCTGTGGGGCAAGAGACACCATAGGTACCAGGGAAAACTCTCACAAACAGCATTAATCCCTCCATCAAACTTTCTGCAGGGTTTCCATGCTCTCCCATTTAAGTAAAAGAACAGAGCATATTTCTAAATACATCTTTGTCTTTTAGCAATAAAGTGGTTTTCAAGAGAAGTGGCCTGTGCTGGGGCAGTCATTAAGTGTCCCCTCAGAGGTGCCAGGAGGATGGCAGCTGGTGAGTTTTAGTCAGCTTGAAATGAAGACTGCATCTCTAAGAAGAGTTCAGCTGACCTGAAGTTTGGGCTATGTTTCTTGATCTGTGCAGATTCTCTAGCTAAGGGAAGAAGAAAGGGACAGGAGGGAAGAGTGGAGATTTGAATTGGTCCAAATACGTTGAAGATTTCGCTGATTCTGTGTACAAGAACTTTGTCTAAAATAAAGGTAGCTGAAGTGATGGGGAAAATGTCATTTTGCTTCCTAGCATGCTCAAAGCATAGAAAAGCACGTAACATCTATTGAGGACAGTCACATTTGCCTGCTTGCTGACAATTTCATACGCAGCTACCTCCTACATTCTTAAATGAGATTGAAAAATTCATAGTGTGTTTTCAGAGGGCAGAAGATTTCGTCTATGAAACAACTTTTCCAGCTTTTTCTTGAAAACGTATTTTAAGCCCAGATTTGTATCCCTAATAGCTAATAAATGGTATACTAATATATTCTAGGGTTCATAGTAGGCTTTTCCATCTTTCCTCCTGTGTCTTGTGTTTCACCAATAACATAGGTTATTCACAGGGCCCAGGGTTGTGGTGAGTGAGCCCTTTCCAGTAGCATCGATGTAATCAAGGTACTGGCAATCACCATTGAATCCCTGATACTAACCATATTCCTCTCTTTATGTGGCAGGCCTATTAAAACATGTTCTTTGCTAACAACAGAAGAGGACATCCCAGACCTACTAATCTGGCAGATGAATGGAGAAAAATGTCCCACCAGTTTTTGAAGCTTTGCTCATAGGTTCATCTAGGTTGGGGCTAGAGGCAGCCTCACCTGACCTGTCCTGTTGCCTCCAGGCAGCATCATTCCAGGCAAACACTTGCCTAAACTGTTCTTAAAACTTTTTAAGGTGGGGTCCCTGCAGTGTCTGCAGGCAGCCTGTTCCAGTGCTCCATTGTCCTTCCTGTTGGGAATCATTCTGGCGTAGAGCTCTGTTGGTACAGTTTAAGGCTGCTATTTCTTGTCTTACCAATTACAGCTGGAGAACACATTCTGCTTTCTGTGTGGCTGGTTTCTTCTTGCCTCTGACTAATCAACCACAATAATGTGATAGTGGTTACATGTGGGATTTCATTTCCCTTGATTGCATTAGCAGATCATTAGCATTCTCATTCTAAGGACTCATTTGTATGAGCAAGTGTTCAGTGCCCTGTTCCGCTTGCGCTGCCCATTGCTTTCAGGAACTAACAGCGCCCAGCTCTGCCTCCACACCATCACCTGCCTGGTGAAGCTTTGCCCTGAATTTCCAAGCTGTTCTTTTATTGAGATCTTGGAAAAATGAACTCACTTCTGCCTCTATCCTTTCTAGAGAGCCTTCCAAAATGTTTTGATGTCCATTTTTTAGACCACTGTTTTCTAATAGTGCCTTTTTGAATATTAAAGGAATGAATGGTGAAGAAAACCGTGCCAACTTTTCAAGTCTGACAGTGTTTTGTTGTCAGGTGTACTGTGAGACACATCAATGCTTCCAGTCATTTTTTATACCTTAACCACTAAGA